TTTTTCGCTGTAAAAAGAAGTTTTCTTCCCACGCACAACGGACACTAATGTTTTTGTCACTTTTTATGGGATCAAACTCAAAGTAAGGTCAGTACTTCCACGCTCATACTCTCTCCCACAATCGATATGTGATCCATTGTTGATCTGCACACAGCTGTTGTCACTAACAGCACACTTGCTTACATCACTGTCGTGAGACATTCTCGCAAAAAAATCAGGGTTTTAGTAAAGCAGTAACGCAGCGTTCCTACGGGAAAGTAACGGTAATCTAATTACCGTTTTTGCAATAGTAATCCCTTACTTTACTCGTTACTTGAAAAAAGTAATCAGATTACTGCCCATGTCTGGAAGTGATTAAAGCCCTGTAGTTTGAATAGGGATCGTCCGTCATGTATTGGGTGAGAAACACAGACAAAGCGTTAAACCCATGTGTGCTCAGTCGAAGGGAGAAAGAGTATACTATTGTGTGAGCATCAGAGCTGCTGATCTCTGAAGGCGTTTGGTTATTACAACAGAAAGGGACGCTTCAAACCCACAATCGAACACACACCCAGGAGGCATCTGTCCCTGACGGCGGGACAGGAATCCACTTACACCGACAGAGACGGAGAGTCTCTGCAACAGCGCACCGTCAGACAAATCTTACTCCTATTGTATATGATGAATTCTTTCATTTCCACCGATTAGATTATCCTGCTGTTTCCGCTCTGTGTGTTTATGTATGTTTGTGCGTGTGTATAAAGCAGCATTGTGTGGAAAATCAAACATTAAAATCGATTTTAATATTGAGATGTATGTATCTGAGTACTTCCGTTTTTTTCAGGGATAACATTGTGCTTTCCATTTCACATTAGTAAATAATTCTACTTCAGACTTTATATAAAAGTGTCAGAAATGATTAGCAGCATATAAGTTTGACAATCAGCAGGGAAACATCAACAACGCTCTCCACCGTTATCAGTGTTTACCATTAGAACTAAAGCAAAGACTTCAGCAGAACGACTTGTCACTGTGTGGTTAGTTTGTGAATCACCACCTCGATAAGAGATTCGTTCTTGACAATTGCAGCAAACGTCCACTGTTTTTTGAGCTCCTTTTAGTTTGCTCTAACAGTCTGTGCGTAATTAACTCCCAATTAGCAAGGGAGCGGCTCCTCATCACTGACGTACCAGTGCAGTCTGACTCCTAGGCTGCTCTGGTTCAATCCAAACGCTTTGAAAAAAATATGAACGGATTAAAGACTAAACAACATTTAGAGAAGTAGTAAATTATTCATTATGATGACTTCTGAAATTATAATTTCACCCACAGGCTAATTCCTCTCGACATTTAGTCGATCTTAGTGGAATGACTAATCCGATGTATGGAGGTATGTATGAACGTATAGGAGAGAGAAAGGAGGCGATCGAGCTTGCGACGAGGCTGATAGCAATCTCACAGCTCACTGAACGTCAACTTCAAATTCAGTTTTAATACACACTCCCCCATCTTTGTTTGCCGCAAGTCAGATATTTATCTGAATAAGTAAAGAGATTCATAAATAAATGCATTTAGTTAACCAAGTGCAACTTCCTGTAAATGAAACTGGGTGGGGTTTGATAAATTGGTGGGCAACCGTGTACTGTGTTGACTCGTAGTCAGGTCTTCAGTAAGATGTTTAGACTGTGCATCTTGGGGTGCCGGTATGGTGCCAAAAAAAGTGATTGTAAACTGTTATAAATGACCTTTTGGCCTCTAATGTGTCAAATATGTGCCAAACATATCTCTCATGAATGGCATCCAATCATTTTCAGCCCGAAAGAACGTTCCACTTTTTGTGGCTTTTATATATCCGTTATTTGTGCAGGTAAAAAGTCTCATTGCCATTAAAACCGCACCAAACACAACATCACTTTTATATAAAGATATTTTAAGTAGCCAGAAAGGACTGGATTGATCATTATAGAATACAGAGTAGGCAAAATGACGCAGAGTCATGAAGATTTTTGCAAAACAGTCTTGACTTACAAACAAAAGCAAAAGTGTAGGACATAAAAATCACAGACAATCATTTCTTGGAACAACACCTGAAACGTCTCGTGCATTGGATGATTTTTTTTTTAACTGAATGAAGCGTGTGCTACAAAAGACCCAAGGACTCTAAACAAGGAATTCAAAAAGAACCCCTCATTATGCAAACTCTTAACACGGTTCGCTTATCTGTTAGGGCTGATTCACTTGACAAGCATCACCGTCATCACAAGAATATCTCTATTTTTGTTTCTGATTTCCCATTATGTCATATTTCGGTGTTGAGCTCAACCTCACTCAGACTGTTTTGCCTCGGATAGGGCCACATTCATGCGACAATACACCACAGATTAACATTAGTGGCTGTAGAGCCATCAATTTAGCTAACAGCAACATGGACAGCTTGTTCCCTCGAGTCCTCTTCAACAGAGACATGTGCACCTCCATGCTCGTTTGATTGATTGCCCTTTTCGCTGGAATGTGTGGATTTCATTTGATAGCACCGTGCTCGATTTTGACATCAGATTACACAAAAAAAAAAAGATATGAAAGAGGTGGGTGTATTTTTATAGTTTGTGAAGGAATGGTAGCTGTCTTCAAACTACAAAAAACAAAACAAAATAGCAACAAGCAAACAAAATCCGTTTCTCTTTGGAAGGTCAATCGATTGCATCTCAATCGGACAGCCACCAATAACCAATAGCCTGCTGAAGGTTGACTTTGGTGGGGAGTGGTGCCAGTTGCTGGGGAGGCGCTGACCTTGGTGCTGAAGTTTAGTTTTTGCTGATCTCCACCCTTATATGTGGACCATATAAAGAGGATACTGTTGCAAACTGCACGTCAGTGAGCCGTAATCCAGAGCATTCTCACATGATGTGAATCTCAGAAAGCCTCCTTATGAAATCGGTGAGAATCAGTGAGAGCTTGTATTTTTATTATGAAAATTTGTGATCATTATTTAAAAATTTCAGGTAAAATAAGTTATTAAAAACAGATTAACCTTTTGCTCTACGTGGCTGTAGAGATATATAAATGTAGCCTATTTAATGCGGTTATTATGGCGTACACTTTGTAAGTCCGTCCAAAAATTAGACAAAAGGAGTTTAATCACTAAACGATACCAGCTATTGTCATTTGCCTGGCGGCTTTAGTGAGCTGAGACTAATGGAGTTTTACTTGCGGGGTTAATAAGGCCATCGGGGAAAAGACGCATGATTGTACTTTGGCTGGAGACATGAGATCCTCGGAAACCTGCGCGCTTCCAGCCCGCACGTCACTGTCCTGACATCAGCACAGAGCTTAAATACCAGCAAATCCGAGTGGTGTACAACAAAAACAGGCACACCTGTTGTGGTTATGCCGGGATCCGAACACAGTGCTGGAACACAACATACGTTTCACTGCTGTGTGCTTTATGCGTTTATGAGCACAAGATTCCACGCAATGTGATTTTTTTTCCTCTCCATTTTTTTGGAGAAGCACTTTGTTTTTTTTCAGAGCGACTTTTCTGAAGGTCACTGAAAGTCCTTCGCGCTTTAATCTTCGTGCATTGTTACTGCTTTTTTGTTTTGTTTAATAATGATCAACCACACTGCCGCGTTTGAAGAACTGGACACAAACGTTTCTGAGCCGTCACAGCTTCTCTCGCTTAACCAGAGCGCTTTCCCTGCGCTTCGGCTCGAGTACAAGTCTCTGATCACTTCAGCCACCATGTTCGCCGTGGGCGTCCTGGGAAACCTCATCGCCATAGTGGTGCTGTGTGTCTCCAAAAAAGAACAGAAGGAAACCACTTTCTACACGCTGGTCTGCGGTATGGCCATCACGGACCTGTTGGGGACGTGCTTCACGAGCCCGGTGGTAATCGCCACGTACGTGTCTAGCCGGTGGCCAGGGGGAGCGCTGCTCTGCCACTTCTTTTCCTTTTCCATGCTTTTCTTCGGCTCCGCCGGCATGTCTATATTGTGCGCTATGGCTGTGGAGCGATACTTGGCCATAAATCACGCGTACTTTTACTCCCAGCACATAGACCGAACCATGGCGCGGTTTGCGCTCCTGGTCACCTACCTGGCGAACATCGTGCTGTGTATTATGCCCAGTTTTGGATTCGGACAGCACGTTAGCCAAATCCCCGGGACTTGGTGCTTTCTCGACTGGAGAGCAATGGATCCGCTGGGAGCTTGCTACTCGTTTCTGTACGGCGGCGTGATGATTATGTTGATCGCAGTGACTGTTTTGTGTAACTTGGCGGTGTGCAGGACGTTGGTGGGCATGAACCAGAGGACAGGAATAGTCAGGACTGAGCTGTGTGAGCAGGGGTGCTCCCGTCGACGCTTCCCTCGGCTGCCTTCGGTCACTTCTGCGGCAGAGATCCAAATGTTCTGGCTTATGATCTTGATGACCATCGTATTCCTGGTCTGCTCTATCCCATTAGTGGTAAGGGCAACAGACTATTTGTTTCTATTTGTTCTCTTATGTCTGCACCCAGTGCACATTCAGTTACTGGTCTTAGCTTTATTTGATATCATAACTCAGATATCTTCTGTCATGCTTTTGTCTCACAGGTGCGAATCTTTGTTAACCAACTATATGGCCCATCTTACATTTCTGCTGGGATGAAGCCCGACTATCGCAGCGACCTGTTGGCAGTCCGCTTCGCCTCGTTCAATCCCATATTAGACCCCTGGGTGTACATATTGTGTCGCAAAAACCTGCTATTGAAGGGCTGCGAGAAGCTAAAGAGAACAGTTAACAGGGTCAGGGATGGAGGCGGCGACAACATCGGCTGGGCAGAGGGTCAAAACTCTCCACAGTCTTTAAACAGCAACGATACCAGTTACGCTTCCATACGCACATCCAGCTACAGAAACGACCGGGACCATCACGGACTCATCCAGAATAAATCTTTTACAGACTTTGCCCTGAGACAAGCGTGGGAGTACGACACGGCCCGTGTCAGCTTTCACCCGTTCAGCGTCGAATCGACCGCGACCCTTGGCTGTGATGACGAGGTGGAGGGTAACTCCAAACAGGAGGCAGCCAAGGCATCTCCAGGGCGCAGCGTAACGCCGCTGCTTCCTGCGCACATAAGGAGAATGGACATCGTTACCTGCACGTTCAGCACACCGAGCTCCTGTGAGTCTGCGAAGTGTCTCTGAGTGAAGTTCACGAACTCCCGACAGCAGTTTTCAAGCACCTCGGCCAAACCGAGGAAGATCTCCGAACTGTGACTTAATCACGTTTGATCGGTTTAAACCGCCAAGTGTCACATCGTGTAAAATAATATCCAGTAACAACTGCAGCAGTAATCAGCACGTCACCATTAACAGCAGGTAACAGTTTTCATATGATTTAACGTGAGCTGAAAACTAGCAAAGTGCTTCAGGTTTGATCCACGTGATCCAGCGCAGCAGTTCAACAGTAGATTGTGAACTGAAGAACCACGTCAGTTCCAAAGAATCACAGAGACCAAACATTTACTTCTTCATGCTGCTTAACCTTAAAAAAAAGTTTAGCCAGAACAGTATGTGGTAGATTTTTTTTTTACCGTAATAAAAGAAATTTCCAAACTTGGAAATTTAAATATTCATACCCCGTGGGTACAAATAAAGTGCGTGTCATTGTCATTTCATGGGTTTAAAACTCTTTAAATATGCGACGCCCTTACATGTGTTGTTGCACTACATTTCTTTTACGGGGGCGGTGTAATTTATTTAGTTATTTATTTTTTCTACATGCTGCCAACTCGCTCAGTGCCATGTAACAGTGCTTCATGATGCAGGTATGGAGGACCACGAATGTCTTTCGTGTTTTAATAACTGCTGTTGTAAAAAGCAAATGTGATCAAATCTTATTTTAAAATAAAGAAGAAGAAGAAAAAAACACTGTTCCCCTCACCTGTGTGAGCTCAGGTGCTTACTGGATGTGTTATTTGGTCTGTGCAGATAAATAAAGGCAGCGAAATCACCGGTTTTGCCTGTTCTGCTCAATAAAGAACAATAAGTTTTTAAAGCAGACATCACCAGCTGGCAGCAGACAGGTGGCAGGAAAGCAAGTTCCTCTCGCGTCAAAACGAGCATTGCAGTTCGCTTTAGATTCTAGTCCAGCAGGTGGCGCTACAGGATAATTCTTTGGCAAATTAAGTTGTTGTGGTGTTAGTTCACACCAGTAACTGTTGCACAGATAACTGGACAGAATAGTCTGAATAATAGGTGTACTAACATGATGTATATTATAAAAAAACTTTATTCCCTTAGAGGATAATAACATACAAAAATAAAGGAAGCTTTATAATCATCATAATAACAATAATAATAATAATAATAATAATAATAAGGACAGAGCGACATAGTGAGAGTATGAATGAGAACTAAAAATCACCTTCAAGGTCTTGTCGTCTAGATTAGGGATGCACGAGTTCTAAAATTCTGGGTCGGTAACAATTTAACTGATAGCTGGTAAAAAAAAAAATCAAACAAAGTTATTGCATTGTAAAACATAACTTTCAGTTCATATCTTAGAGCATTTAGTCAGCACAAAATTGCTGGGACTGATAGGACACAAAACATGGCCACTGGTAAGTATGTTACTTGGTCAAAGGCTGATATCAGTCATCAAGGCTGGGGTTATTCTGAAGACACATCGAGAAACTGTCTGAAGTTGAGTGTTTGGCTCACTGGGATTAGTTGTTCATACAATAACCTCAGTATTTAATGTTTAAAACAGAGCATCCACCAATGTAACAGCAAAGGAAAACCATAATTGATCCTCTTCACTACACACTGTACATACAATGCAGTATGTATTAAAGTTTAAATGACTATTTCCAGCACAAAGGTGACCACAAACACAGATATCTCACCAGACTCAATTATGTTAGATGCTCTCAAAGTAAACAAAATTCAATATTTATCAGTTCTTCCACATTGTTTCAATGTTGGTCCATTTTTGCCCAATATCTGTTAGTCTGGGATGAAAAGTAAATAAGAATTTGACCTCTTGGATATTGTTTTGCTCAATAGAAAAAAATATCAATAACCAGATTTTAGAAATCCAATCTACTTCTGCCTAGAAGAAACTGTTTAGCCAAAGTTTGACTTTCTGTGCTGGGTAAGTGTGAAAATCAGCATCTGGAAAAGAAAAAAATGTTGTACTTTATGTGAGCACAAGTAACTGTCGACATGAAAAGTGAATCTTGGCAATAAATAGATATTATCTACAATAGAGTTCATAAAAACAGCTCTCATATGAAGCCATAATAAATAAATAATAATTTATCCAAAATAAATATACTTTACTTTTATACAGTAATACATGAAGATGCATGGCATCCATCTGGCTGAGTTCACCTGAACATAGAGAAGACACAATGTAATGTCCCTGTCTGTGTGCGGGAAGAGAACGAATCTTGTGGAAACACCTGTTCTCACCGAGCATGAATGGTCTGAATGGAAACAAAGCATCCTTTAACTGTAAATTTTCTTTACATCGCTTGAGCTTCAGCCTTCAGGTCTCGCCCAAATGAAATCAAACACATGAAGAAGGTCTCTGTGTATAATAACCAGGCTTTAGTATCCTGCATTAATTACCGGTTATTCAGTTAAAAAGAATTCACCCTTTAATGAGGGAACAGTATCCAGACTGGGCTTCCCTAATGACCTCCCCCTCAGTCTCTTGATTTTGACCTTGGCCCTTAATGTCCAGCTGCGGCCAGCCCACTTCCTTCTCAGCAGGAAATGTATCAGGGAGGCAAACAAGTGGCCTCTTTTTCTTCTTCTTTTCTGTTTCTGTGTGAGACAGTGCCCCCATATGGCCAAATCCTAAACACGGGGCCTCACACACACACAGACACACACACTATCCAGCCAGAGGCTCTTCAGCTTTATCCATCCTGGGCACTTATCTGTTTGTACTCATCATTCAGCCCATGCACATGCAGCTGGCGGCAGAGAGCGATTGGATGGTTCTCCACGTGGTCTTGGCATCCATGAACGATACTGGCTCGTAGCGGTCGGGGCGGCAGCAGGGGTGGCTGCTGACCTTGCGGGCGGTGCGTCGAGGCAGCGAGCCATTCTCCAGCAGTGCTTTCAGTGCTAGGTCATAGTTTGTTCTTTCGGCCTGGCAGGAGCCTACACAGAACTTAAAAAGGACGATTTCATCCGAATCAAATCCCAGTCCTAGATCCCGAACCCTCATCTCCTTCTTCTCCACACGGCAGTGCCTGCTGCTCTGCTTCGGGTGTCCGTTTCTCCCCTTACCCTTTCTGTTCCTTGTTTCTGTCTCTTCTTCCTTTTCTTTCTTCTTCTTCTTTTTCTTCGATGATCCCTTGGGCTGAGGTTCTGTGGGATCAGAGGAGCGTGGTGATCGTCCTACCCAGCGACTGCTGGGATGGTCATCCAACTCATCCATTACAAAAGGGTCTGAAAGAGAAGGAAAGAAAGGAAATGGTAGGCTGGGAGTGAACACCAGTTTACAGAATTATGAGCAGTGGGGTATATTTCTCAAGTAATCTACAATCTCACGTCTGCATTTTAATATAAAATGACTTCACGTGTAAGTGTATTGTAAGGCCTGAGACACAAAGCAGGCTCAGACTTCTCTCAACCATCTTTCCATTCTAGTACTGCTCAGTAAAGCTTATGTGCTATGACTTATATAGTAAATGGACTGCACATGTATATATAGAGAGAGCTTTTTAGCGTTATCAGTCACTCAAAAACACTTTCCCAAGAGCTTCAGTACCATAAAGAGGGTGCCAAGTAGAGTAAGGGTCACTGTCTTCTTTCTGTTCCTTATCCTCCACCATTTCAGGCAGCGTCACAGGAAGCTGTCTCTCCTCCTGGTTTCCCAGCAGGCCCACAGTGTGGCCTGAGTCTGATCCCACACCAGCACCACCTTTCATATGAGCTCCTTCCACCAGAGGCAGCAAAGCAATGAGCACCCACAGCAGCACCTAAGAAGACAGAGTATGTCAGCTGGTTCTTATTTGATATATATTCTCTGTCTAACACATAAAAACATTTCCCTAAAATGTGTTATGTATAGTTAATAAAGTCCTCCGCTCTGGTCAGCTGGTTGTTGTGTTTGCAGGGGAAATGTGCCCTCTGGTGGACAAACTATGAAAGGTGAACCCTCATAACATGGTTGAAGGTTCTTCTTCCAGCTGTTATTTACAGTTTAATTTTCATTTGTCAGTCAATATAAATACCGATACCAATAGATTGATAATAATATCAACTTACAGACAATTCGGCTCTAATTGTCAGTACCCTCAGTACCTCTGAAAGTAAACGTCCCACACATTCTCCATAGGGATTTTGAGCCAGAATGTTGAGACTATCCAAAGCAGACCGAAACAATGACTGTGCTCCTGTAAACCACGAATCTGTTTTATCAACCTTATTTCAACAAAAAACATTTTTAATGGTGATGGCGTGGAAAAGAACTACTCTACCCACAATCGTAAAAGTGACATCTCTGCTTGTGGAAGCCGCTGTTACCGTGGAAATGTTTAAACCAGGTGTGGAGAACTCCTGCGGGTTTTAGATCTCACCCTGGGTCAACACACCTGAATCAAACGACTAGTTCATTACCAGGCCTCTGGAGAACTTCAAGAAATGTTGAGGAGGTAATGAAGCCATTTAAATCAGCTGTGTTGGATCAAGGACACATCTAAAACCTGCAGGACACTGGCCATTGAGAGCTGGAGTTTCCCCACCCCTGGTTTAAACCGTGTCAACATCAGGTCACGCAAAACTTCAGAAACAGCGTGAGTGGTGATTTTTTATTTTAAAAAGGATCAAAACACTGTATAATTTAGATGTGTAGGCTGTACACCATCTATCTTAACCAAATCCCACAGCTTTTCCATTAACATTGAAAATTCTCCTACCCTTCCCTCCCCTCAGGTTAAGAGTTTGGGTGTCATACTTGATAATACGCTTTCATTCCAGTCTCACATTAATTACATAACCCGGTTTGCTTACTTCCACTTACGTAATATTAACCGACTCCGTCCCTTCCTCACTCCCCATGCTGCTACCATCCTTGTCCATAGTCTTATTACGTCCCGTATTGATTACTGTAATTCCCTCCTATTTGGTCTCCCTAAAAGGTCCCTTCATAAACTCCAACTTCTTCAAAATTCTGCAGCTCGGGTCATAACTAGCTCATATTACTCCAGTTCTTCAGCAGCTTCACTGGTTGCCTGTAGAAGCCAGGATAAATTTTAAAATCTTACTTCTTACATACAAGGGTATCCATAAATCTGCTCCTTCATATTTGTGTGACCTGCTCCATATCACCACTGCTTCCCGCCTTCTCAGATCATCATCTGCTATTCATCTTACTGTTCCATCCTCACACCTTATCACTATGGGGAACAGAGCCTTCAGTCGCTCTGCTCCTCGGCTCTGGAGCTCTCTTCCTCCTGCACTAAGAAATATTGAGCTGGTTGGTATGCATCTATCTATCTATCTATCTATCTATCTATCTATCTATCTATCTATCTATCTATCTATCTATCTATCTATCTATCTATCTATCTATCTATCTATCTAT